CAACCAGACGCCTACAGTATTTTCATAAATAGGGATGGTCAAATTCGGCAATCTCGGATTCTCATTTCTCCTATCTTAAGCTCAGTTGTCCAAATTTCCACCTCTGTTTTTTTATAGTCCTCAAGAATAGCATCTACATTTCCATGCAAAGTTCACATAATGTACCTGTTTCTATGCAGATTTTGCCTAATACACCAATTTTTGCAAAACAATTTTCCCGAATGCATTTTTATATCTTCCTTTCACTAATATATGCATATGTACACACACTATACCCTAGTATATGCATTTTTGTACACACTACTTGACTGCAAAACTGCACTGCAAAATTAAACTGATTTCTGTTGCTGTTCATGTCCTGTTTTGGTAAGGGCAAATATAGCAGGTTCAGCTTTTAATGTGAACTGGAACTTAAATGTGAACTCTTCCATCCCTAAAAAATAACAAAGAAAGCCCCTATCATCAGCTTTAGCAACACACTGCAAACTTCCCACCTTCCTGATAGTCATGTGGAAACTCAAGACTGTGTTGAAGTAACATTCTCTGATCTGGAAATATTTCTCCATAATCACTGATGTAAGAAATGCACACTTCACCTGCTCAGGGGTACTTGTTTCATTAAATCAGAGAATCAAAGAACTGGAAGTGACTTCGAACTATGTCAAGCTTCTTTTTAAAGACACACTCTCAGCAAACAACATGTATAAGAGTGACAGAACAGGTACAATAACAAAAGAATAGATGTATCATATGATAAGTGATAAGCTGCTCTGGAGACACCACCTATGGTCAGAATAGTTGAAGGCAACTGTGAAGAGAGCAGCATTCAGGACCCACCTGAATGACACAGAGATGATGCATAAGTCCCTAGAGTTCACCTCTAGCCCAGACATATAGTCTGTTATGTAGACTTGTTTTAAAATGTTTCTGATTTCATCTGAGTCTTTATTGATCATTATTTTATAATCATTTTCTGTACACCATTTATGATATTTACCTTTTGTATTTAGCAATTCATACATTTTCCTGAATGAATGAATGAATGAATGAATAAAGCAGTCCAACCACCTTCTCAGTGCAGGATCTGAAATGTGAGATGCCTTTTCCCATATGTTCTACTATGTTCCAGATTTGAACCTTGAATAAAAAGTAGGTGGCAGGGCTCAGCCCTGTTGCTCCGTGGCACAGATAATTTTCATTCACTACAGGGTCTAGTTCACTACATTTATATTACATTTTTGTTACATGTCAAATGGTAGTCTTTGGAGCACCAGTGGTCCATGGGCTTCGATCAGGTTGTCTGTGGTGTGTCTATGGATTTGCGGCTGAAGATGAGAGATGGCACATCCATCACATTAAATATCCATATGGATTTTCAGTTGTAATTTGTAATGCTTCTTCTATTTCTTCTGTTGTGTTTTATTAGATTACAAGTGGAACTCAATGGAATTCAAATTGTTATATAATAAAAGTACAATACATGAGAAATAATAGAATGAATAAAAATACAACAAAAAACGATGTGGTGTTGCAATGGCTACAAAAGGCAGAAATATAATTAAATGGTCTTCCAAGACTCACAGCCATTTTCAAGTGGGGGAAGGTTTAGGAACAGCTGTGCTAGAGAATCAGTGGCATTTTCACCGGGATTTTGCAAATACAGGAATTAAACTACAGTACAGTGGTAACTCGGGTAAAGAACTTAATTCGTTCTGGAGGTCCGTTCTTAACCTGAAACTGTTCTTAACCTGAGGTACCACTTTAGCTAATGGGGCTTCCCGCTGCTGCCGCACCGCTACTGCGCAATTTCTGTTCTCACCCTGAAGCAAAGTTCTTAAACCGAGGTACTATTTCTGGGTTAGTGGAGTCTGTAACCTGAAGCATCTGTAACCTGAAGCATCTGTAACTAGAGGTACCACTGTATGTGCATTTATCTGTAAATAAAAACAGCATACAGTAAGGGTAAAACCAGGTCTGAGCTACCTTCCGCCGCACTGCACTGCACTACTCTCAACAAACAAAGACAGCAGTGGCTGCTGCAGGCACTTCAGCTGATGTTTCTGGGCTGAGCACCACCACCCATTCCTGCAGCCACTCCCTGCATAAGCTAATGAGCAGCAGTGGAGATGGGCTAGCTGCACTTTGAAAACAGCTGCTGTTGCAGCAACCGCTATATTACCTTAAAATACCTCCAGGAGCAATGGACAGCTGCCGTATAGCAGCAAAACCACAAGTTTTCACTTGGAGTCCTGACCAAAAAATGTAAAAGGGGATGGTAGCATCAGACCTAGTGGGACCAACAGTTGCCCTGCCACCCCAGGCACTGACATCCCAGGGCCTGAATTAAACTAGCTTGCCATGCTGCAGTACTCACCAGATAGCACCATCATGCAGAATACGAAGGTGAGCCGAAACACAGAGTACATCTTGCCTCTGTAGTCCACTGTCCACTGATCAGTTCTGCACTGTGTATTCAGAAATATAACTACTTCTGCTTTGGATACTCCCGGGGGAACTTGCTTTCATAACAGCTACACTTTGATGGTAATTGAACACACACACACACACACACACCGGCCCATTTTAACTATAAACAAATTAAATTAATCGGTCTTATCTTTTTCCATTTCAAAAGAGTCTCTGATATTTTCATATCTCAGGGCTTTGGATAGTGAGAAGAGAAACATTTCTTATCTTTTTCCATTTCAAAAGAGTCTCTGATATTTTCATATCTCAGGGCTTTGGATAGTGAGAAGAGAAACATTTCCATATTAAAGCTAAAGGAAGCTTTGCATTCCTGAATATTATTGTCCCTGTTTTGAATGTGGGACACATTCTAGCCAGGCAAAAGCACTCAAAAAGGGCATGGCCTAGAGAGAGAGTCTTAAGTACCAAATAGAGAGGCCTGGAGTGCCATAATCGGCCTTTGGGTCTGAGATTCCTCACACTTAGGACAGTAAATAAAACCACTGAGCACACTACAACTCTTTGACCCATGACAACACTTATTTCTCTAAATCTTCTTTCCCCCCCAAATTTTGTGCTCTCAGGCAAGGCCGCCACATGTGCCTATATGCACCTATTTCTTTCACCTCTTCTCCAATAGGCAGCAGGGCAGTGCTGCTTACCTGACTTCCCCACTGTCTGTAACCAAGAAGGAGAGACAGAGGGGTGAAATTGTAAAGGAGTCAAATTTCTAGTCTGTTTATCTTCCCGAAAGAGCACAAGGCAGCAAACAACAAAGTAGTAGAAACAGGATAATTAAAAATAAAAACCTATTTAAAACCTTCAAAAAGAATAAAGGACATCTAAAAATCTTTTTTTAAAATACCAACTAAAATCTTTTAATGCTATCCTTGGGCAATGCATTGGCTCAAGACTTTAGCCCAAGGATAGCCAGGTGATGCTCTCTCAATGCTCTTGGACTCCAGCACCCATCAACCGCAGCTTGCATGGCCAATGGCCAGGGGTGATGGGAACTGTAGTTCAGCAGCATCTGGAGGGCACCGTGTTGGCTACCCCTGCTTGGCTCCTTTCACCATGAGTGCTCACATATTTAATCGTGGGGACAGATGCCCAGCCAATTAGCCTTGCACTTTCTTAGCCTTTATATGCCCAAGTTAGTGTGAGATTCTACCAGGGAAGGGCCATATCTCAGGTAGAGCACCTGCTTTGTATGCAGAAGGTCTCAGGTTCAACTCCAACATTTCCAGGTAGGGCTGGAAGAAAACCTTGCCTGAAGAGCAGCTTCCAGTGTAGACAGTACTGAGCTATATAGACTAATGTTCTGACTCTGTATAAGGGAGCTTCCTATGTTCCTACAACAGCATAAGCTCCTCGTAGGCCAGACACCAAAAGACTAGTAAGACCAAATACTGTTTATTGCACTGAATTTAATCATGTTTTACCCTGAGCTTCTATGGACTCCAATGCTCAGCTGGTTCTACAGACCCAAGATGTCTCATACATAGCAGACAAGGTCAATGGTAGGGTTGCCATATTTCAAGGGGTAAAAATCCGGACACAAAAAGTTGTTGAGCTTTTTTAGAGCCAAGCCAGAGCCAGAACCTGAACCAGAGCTGCCCTTGCACACACCCCAAAAAATTAAAAACCAAAAATCCTGAACATTTGCTTTAAAATGTAAAATTCTCTCTAGGTGGGCATGTAGGACCCCAAAAAGAAGACGTGTCCTGGAATTCCTAAACGTATGGCAACCCTGTCAATAGTGTTACATCCATGACACAGCATTCTAAAGAAGAAACATTTTACTAATCACTTTGGCTGCATAATTCATCATACTTCAAAACCACATGTTGTCAGTTTACGATATGTGCTATAAAAGGAAAACACCCAGAAACCACTAGATAGCAAAAAGTTTACCGTACATACAGTTCTTTATCCCCAAGAAACCAACTTCTTCTTATTTATTTCCTTAAAACACAGTTTTTGTAAGATGATTGTTTAAACCTTCTTCCAGGATTTATTTCTATTTTTGTGCTTGGGGACGCTGGATGAAAAATGAGGAGGTGGACATCAGGCTGCTTTGCAAACGAAAGAGGAACAACATTGTGTGGTACGTTTTATGAGCAAACTTCTCTTATGCTATTTTATCACGTGGGCAAAATGTTTAGTCAGAGATAAGGTGATGCACATTGAAAGTCAGATGATGAATCATGATGAACCCCCAAAAAGAATCCCAGCCATATCACCTGGGTCTTTCCTCTCTCGTTACTAGAAAGCCACAATTAGCCTGTTCTGACATATCACTTTGAAGAAGTGACATCATTTATCTCTTTGGCAGCTACACACCTACCTGTGATGTAAAAGGGGAATTTCTTTGCTGTGTCATTTTACTCTATTGATTTTGGTTATGGAAACCATGTGAAAGAACTTTTATACCTTCTGACGGGATTTCACTCTTCTAACGTTATTGGCAGAGCAATTACTATAACACACTCAAAAAAGGAAGGAAGGGGAAGTTGAAAACTCTCACAGAAGAGATGGGGAATAAAGGAACCAAAGAAAGGTATGTCTAGTGTTACTTCAAGTGGGACGGGAGTCAGGTTATCCCAACTCCAGATTTAACCTTGGACTTTCCCAGTTCAAGCAGATAATGGACCAAACTTCTTCAATGGTTTAATAAAAGCTGTACTTATAAAATGATGTCGGGAGACAAGGTTTCTTGTATACTTGGCATCCTATGTCTGCATGCTTTTAATCTATAATATATAGCTATAGATATGTAGATATAGTTTTAATTCTATTAATGTTTAAATGTTTTTTTAATTATTCTTTTTCTATGTTTTAACTGTTCTTATTTTATCTGTAAGCCACCTTGAGTCCCTGCCAGGGAAAAAGGCTGGGTTAAATAATGCGTGAGGATCTCAAACCTAGATGTACAGAAGAGGGATCCTAAACCTGAAGGATTGTGATGTTCTACCATCTTAAGGCTGGACTTCCTTGGGATGAGGCTGAGGTGTTGGGGATAAGCCCTCCATCCACTAGATGATGCCGTCCAATTTGGCTTTCATGAACTCTATGCATTTTTCTATTAATTCGTTATTTCTATTAATTCATTATCATAAGGTAGCTTCCTATGTTAAGTTGTGGGCTCTCCTCATTATACTGAAACTTTCCCTTTTCCCTATTAGCAGGACCATTTCATATCCAGATGGGGTGTGGGCATTATTTCATATAAAAATGGACACCAATGCAAAGAAAGAAAGACAATTCCAATGTCTTGTGTTTGCTACTGTGCTGCGAATCACTTCATACACCCATTCATGTAAGAGTTTCTGTATGTAAGATCAGTTTATCTCTCTTTGACATGCCTCTGCCTTAGTAAGACACCCAGATGAAACAAGGAGTTGGAGAAATGGGTGCTAAGGGAAATAGGAAGCTGCCTTGTACTGATCCGGACCATCTAGCTCAGAATTACCTACAATGAATAGCAGCGGCCTTCCAAGAGTTTTAGGCAGAGTACTCTCCCAGCCCTTATTGGAGATGTTTGGGATTGAACCTGAAACCTTCTGCATGCAAAGCAGATGCTCTACCACTCAGCTATTGCCCTGATCTGGGAGAGGTCTTCCCATCTCAGGTAGGGAACAGATATTCAGAAGGGGAAAGCATTTACAGTACTTGTACACTGTGGCTGAACTCCATTCTCAAACAGCTTCTCTGGTTCTTATGTTGCAGCAGAAAGCCTTTGCCCTGCCTGAGGAGAAAGAAATGCTTTCACATCAGAAGTGAGTGAGTAGTTACGTCTTTAAGCCTATTGCAGAGCCTGGCTAGGGGGGCTTCTGGAGCATCGCTAGTTTGGGGCGGCATTCAATCGCACACTGGCAAAGGCAGGTTGTGCAATTAAATTTGGTTTGGAGGTCTTGCACAACAAACCCATTTCCCCCCAAAGACTAGCCTTTCCCCACATGATGGGAAATTGCACAGGAAAGTGTGGATCACAACTCGCTTGACGCAACGAAGGAAACCAGAATAAAATATTGATAAACAGGCTGTGTAGAAGTGACCTCCGTCTCCAGAAAATGACAGCACTGCAGCAGAACTTCGGGCTTTTCAGATCTACCAGAACCCCAAGATCTACAAACTAGAGCCTACCATAACTGATCTAATTAAAGAACAGGGTGCCTCTGAGCAAAGGGCTTTGGGGGTTTTTCAGTATTAGAAATGAGGTGATCTTTCACAAAAAAGCGCACTCCTAGTTACCATAAGCTTTTCTTATTTCTGCTGCCTAATTTAGGTGGGGAAAGGTAATTTTGTTGTTGCTATTGAAAATCAGGAAGCCTTGCCCACTGGATCCTGATCTACCTTCTGCACACTCCTGCAGTAGGGATTTGATCAAGTGAATAGTTTGAAGATGCTTGATGTTTCCATGCAGCTGAGCAGAGCAGGATCTATGATATTTGTAGTTTCTCATGCCTACCTCAATGTCGTCGTCGTTATTTTTACACTCAAATCTTATTTCTGCTTCTTCTCCCAGTACAAACTGAGGACGTTTCATCAGTTCATGATGAGGTACTGAAAGATTTTTTCCTGTCCTCTTCAAGATTGTGTTTATTATTTATATTTATATCCTGTTTTTCCTCTGAGGAGCTCAAAGTGGCAATAGTTATTTCCCTTCCCATTTTACGTTCCTAGTAAGCAAACCCGTCTTTGCAGGAAACTTGAGTATTGTAGCTTTGTAAAGGGAACAGGGTCTCCTAGCAACTCTCATTACCCTTAATGAACTACAGGATGCCTTGGGGGAAGCCATGATTGTTTAAAGTGGAGCAATGCTGCTTTAAACATAGCACAGGTCAAGGCCGTATTGTATTTATTAATTGGTAAAAGCTGCCTCTTTTGCTGTTTGCTCTAGAAGGCAAGATATAAATGCATGAGTTAAATAATTAAAAATCATATTTTTAAAAAGACAACAAATTCTTTAGGTTTACAAAATGTTGCTTCAATATCTTTTCAGTCATATATGAAAACTGGCAGATTGTAATACCTAAGGTCAAGCTGATAAATGAAAAAGAGGCCCTGCTAGAGCATAATTGTGTTACACTAACAAGGGATTATTTATTTACTTGCGTTCTGAACTCTCTTGTCCCATTTGGTTCCTATTCTGGTATCATGCTCTGAGGCAAAGGAGTGTAAAGAGAAGTTTGGGTTTTGCATAAGGATGAGTCATAAATTCTGTGTGAATTTGATGACATCATACGGACTGGGAAAATTTACAATGTTCGGCAGAGGTAACCACTGAGAGAATTTTTTGTTGTTATATCTCATTATGCTCAGGTGAATGCCAAGCACAAACCAACAAAATATATTTGTGACTGAGCCCTGCTCAAATCCATGATACTGAAGTGTGGAGTTAAATACTTACAGGGACTCCAGATGGGACCCAATATCAATTTTGTTTTTTTAATTGTTTAAATACATGTGGTTTTTTTATTGTCCCCCGGGGACAGAACGCGCCAGAGAAGTGGGGAGAGTGGAAATGGCTGGTAACATCATCACCGCTCCGCCTAGTCCATTCAGGGGGAGCCCTTCACACATGGAGGCAGGCCAACCCCCCCCACCAATCCATGCTAACCAACCCAATTGTGATTGCGCAAACCGCCAGCCAAATGGACAATTCCCTGCCAGGCAGACCGCAGGTGCGGTCAACCCTACTCGGCGGTGGGAGCTCAGGCTAGTATTCCTCAAATTGCCATAACACCCAGCCCAGGCATGCCCAGCCTCTTGGCCCCTGGAACGGGTTCAGACCCAACGTGCCTCCAGAAAACTTACAGGACTCCAAATCCAGCCAGTCACCCCTGGCTACTGGTCATGTATACAGTTGCTGGGAGTCCAATAATACCTCAAAAAGAGTGGCTAAATGAAGTTGGGAGTAAATAATTAATGGCACCCCTCCCATCAAACAATTTTGTGACTGGGGTAGGGGAGTAAACTCTTCAAGGGAGGGCGAAGCCAAATTATTTTGCATTAAAAACAAACAAACATGACTAAGTGTGGAAACCTGGAAAACTGAAGTTAAGATAGATAAAATGATAAACTGGGGGGGAGGGGACCAAAATTGACAGATTATCCAGTTCCTAGCTGCACTACCAATGATTGGTAACAGTATTAGGCAGAATAATTTCATTTACAGACTCCACACACAATTGAAAGCTGCATTTTTTTTGTTAAAGTTGATTTCTTTCTTCCCAGGAGAACACTGATGACAAAGTCTCTGCAGAGCCCTCTGAAATATGCTACGCTACCCTTGACCATATTATTAGAGGAAATGACATTAAAGGACACAAAACAAGCACTACCACCATCTATGAAGATGTCATCATTATTCCGAAAAGAGTGAGCTCTTCCAGCTTCCAGTACAACAGTGACTATGATGATGTTGTGAAAGATTAGTTCTCCTCTTTGGGATAAGAAAACATTACATTTCGTAGCATAATGACGAAAATTTCATTGCCATAAATATTTACCACTACATCAGCTATAGTGCCTCAAGTTATTTTGGGTGGTGGTGACACATGCATTGCATAAGCACCTGCGCTCAGAGATCTGCACTGGTTGCCAATTTGCTACTGGGCCAAGTTCAAGGTGTTGCTATTAGTATATAAAGCCCTTAACAACTTCAGTTTACCTATGAGATTTCCTCCCCTCATATATGACCACTCAACTGCAGTGGAACTGACATGGCTGCAGGTGTCAAATGATACTTGTTCTGCATTTGTAAGAACTCGATCTTTTCATGTGGCAGCAACTCCACTTTGGAACTCCCTGTCTATTGATATCAGGAAGGACCCCTTCACTGTACTCCTTTTTGCACCTGCTAAGAGCATTTTTGTCCAGACCAGCCTACCCAGATGTTTAGAAAGCTGGGGTGGGTTTTAATCAAATTTTGGTCTATTGTTATTTTAACTTTTCCAGTATCTTAAATGATTGTTGCTAGTTTTATTGTGATAAATTTACTGTTTACTGTGTTAGTGATAATTTTATTTTAGCAATTTATTTATCACTAATTATTATTGTAGTTAGTGATAATTGAGGTTTTTTAAAAATAATAATAAAGTGGTGTATAAATTTTACAAAATAGATAACAATAAACATCCCTCTCATCCAAGCACTGCTGTTGTAGTCATTAGGACCTTAAGACCTTCATAGTGCAGTACAGTGGTACCTCGGTTTAAGAACAGCCCTGTTTATGAACTATTTGGTTTACAAACTCCACAAAACCAGAAGTAGTGTTCTGGTTAGCAAACTTTACCTTGGTCTACGAATGGAAGCCGAACGGTGGAAGGGCACCGGCGGTGGGAGGCCCCATTAGGGAAAGTGTGCCTCGGTTTAAGAACGGCTTTGGTTTAAGAACGGATGTCCGGAATGGATTAAGTTCATAAACTGAGGTACCACTGTATAATGACATCCACACAGATCCAGAGGCATCAGAGAAAGGTTCATAGGGAATAGGGAGAGAATCTAAATCAATGCCTTCAAAAGATATATACCATATTTTTCGACCTATAGGACGCACTTTTCCCCCTCCAAAAATGAAGGGGAAATGTGTGTGCGTCCTATGGGGCGAATGCAGACTTTCGCTGAAGCCTGGAGAGCGAGAGGGGTCGGTGCGCACCGACCCCTCTTGCTCTCCAGGCTTCAGGAAGCTCTCCGCAAGCCTTGGGAACTCCGCGGGAGTTCCCGTCGGGCTTCCAAGGCTTGCGGATAGCAGCCTGCATCCCGAAGCCTGGGGCGCGCTGCATAGCACGCCTCGGGCTTCATGCAGCTATCGGGCAGCCCCACAAGCTCGGGGGACAGTGGGGTGACGGAGCACCGCCATCCCCCTGCTCCCCGACCTGGTTTGGATTCCCCGACCTGGTTTTGGGGGGGGAATAAAGGAAAAATTTTCCCCCTTTATTTCCCCCCCCAAAAAAAAAACTAGGTGCGCCCTATGGGGCGAAAAATATGGTATATATATTGGGTTAGGATTTTTCCTGCTCTTTTGATTGTAAATTGTTTTACCTGGTTTTCTTGTTGCATTTTTATATTGTTATATATTGTTATGGTGAATGTAGGTCATCAACAATAACAGCAGCAGCAGCAGCAGCAGCAATAAAGCTCAAGGTGATGAGTGGAAAGAAAAGAAAGCTTTGGTCAGCGTGGCTGATGTCCACTGCCACGGTCTGTCAGTCAAAGGCTGGATCTGATCACATCCCAGATCCCAAATGGAATTGGGCTGATTTAGGTCATTCTGGGATTTGGTTGGCTTCAGTGGACACAGCAGAGTTTTAATGCATGGGAGAGAAGTAGCCAAGTTTTATTTTATTTGACATATTTATCTGCTGCTTAATTACCTAAGTATCTAGTAGTGTACACCAAAATTATTAAAATTTATACATTGGATGAAAGCAATCAAAAGTAATCATAAAAGCAGAAAGCTCCCTGAAAAATGCCTGCTGAAAAAGAAAGGTATTTGTCAGGCTCCTGAAGTTGAATGGTGAGGGCCCGTGCTTAATCTTAACTGGGAGGAAGTTCCACAGAATCATGGAAACCTATCTATGAGTTTGCTTGCCCATGAGGGTCTGTCTCCTGGGCTTCTCCTAATTTGGGGTACTTCCTCATCTGAAATAAACTTTGAAGAAATAAAAAAAAGGTGTTTTCTCTCTTTAAATGTCACAGTGTGGTGACTGATGATTGTGATGGGCCTTGAGCTGTCACTGTAAACCACCCTGGAAATTATTCACATTGAACAATGAGCTACAAATCTATTGAATAAAGAAACTAACACCTACTGATTCCTCTCCTGGGATCCCTTCATAAGAATTCCTTGTTGGTTTTCTTTAATACTGTGATTTGTTAATTATGAACATATCCCTGTTAAGGTGGCTCTAGTCATTCTCAGAAGGGTAGTTTCAGAAAGGAATACTGGGGAAACTCCTGTTGCCTATGATCCATCTTGTCCCTCATGATATTTAACACATACATGAAATTTCTGGGTGAGGTCATTGGAGGTTTGAAGTTCATTGGGTTGGCTCCAACACAGCCATCCCACTTGCGCAATGAAGGTTCATTCTGCTCTCTATCCCTACAGTTCCTTGTACACCCTCATAATCTGCCCCAGAGGGAGCAGATTGGGGGGAGGCAGGAAAGGAGAGGAAGGGTAAGCCCTGTTCCATGAGTAGAACACCAAACACACTATGTTGGATACAACCCAGGACCATCTCCTTCTCTTTCCATCTAAATCCAAGGGAGCTGTTCAAGTTCTGAATCAAACTCCAGCTATGCATGACATTAAATATGGCTTTGCATTGAAAATGTAGGGGTTTCTTTTAAAAAAATGCAAATAGCATAATTATCGCCATAAAGCAGGTAGAGAAGAGTGATTTAACTCCTTAGCCACCTGTTGCAGTTCTGAGGAAAAACCCTCCACTGAAGCAAACATCTGTATTGGTAGGAAATCCCCCATTGGAGCTAATGGGGCTTTTCCTACCAAAGCATTACTGACACCAGAAGAGGGGTTTTCCTCAGGAGGAAAGAGTTAAATCCTTCCCCACATGAAAGCTCTGATACCATTAATTATCAACACCACTGATATAATTTGCATTTTGAAAAAGCCAGCACAGTAAATACAAACATGTATTTAGTGTCATGTGAAGTCCTCAGTGTCTGATCTTATGGATGTGAATGAACAAACTGAAGCTTTATCTAGGAGAGTTAGAGGTGCTTCTGGTCAGTAATAAGGCAGATCAGAGAAGAGGGGCTCAGCCTATCTTGAATAGGGTTGCACTTCCTCTGAAGACTCAGGTTTGTAGTTTGGGCGCACTCCTGGATTCAGCCCTGAAACTGGCTACCCAGGTATCAGAAGTTGCCTGGAGTCAGTGGCAAAGCTGTATGCTCCGGCACCGGGGGCGGAGAGCAGGCAAGGGAATGGCTGGTGCATATCCCGGGGGTGTGATGCGCATCCTGGGGGTGTGGCACACCACCCTGTGGGGAGGGGCGCATGGCACGGTGGCATAGCACGTCGCCCGTGAGGAGCGTGGCGTGCGTCCTGGGGGCATGGTACGTCACCTGTGGGGGTGTGGTACCCAGTGCAGTGGGGGTGCATGGTGCATGTCTGGAGGGCGGCCGCGATGGTAACCCCCTCCCCGATGGTGCCAGGGATGGTGCACTCCCCCCACCCCTGTTCCTCCTCCAGTGCCTGGAGTGATTTTATACAGGTATCTGCCACTGCTTCTGTTCCTCAAAATGTCAGATCTGGATTCAGTGAGACCTGCCTTAGTTACATCTCTGGGCTTGCCATTCAAGAGTGTTCAGGAACTCCAGCTGTATCAGAATATTACACTCAGACTATTGACCAAGGCCAGTGATAGGAAGCATATACCTCTCATGTCATGTTGTAGCAGCTTCAGTGACCACCAACCTGTTTACAGGCACAATTCAAAGTGCTGATTATGATCTATCAAAATTAAGATATCTGACTAACTATTCCCTGATATGAGTTTCCTTGCATCTTAATATCTTAAAGATTTTATACATTTCAACTTCTCAAGCATGTTTGGTGGGAATTTGAGTGGACCTTCTCAGCGTCAGCTCCCAGGGTTTGCAACTTCTTGCCATTAGATGCAACGGAGGAGAATTCAGATTTCAGAAAACAAAACTATCCTTGTAGGGCCAATATGGTTTGCTTTGTCCATTCACTAAACACACAGATTCTCACTCCAGGGTTTTGAAACAAGCATACTGTACTGATGGCACATTTCATCCACCATAAGAGGAAAATGAAGCAACCGACATAAAAAAAATTGGTTAATTAAAAAAATAGAACTTTGTTGCTTAACATTTAAGGCATTTTAGCACAATCATTTTATTATACAACAACTGAGCTTTTGTTTCTATTTGTGTCCCTCTAGATGTCCCTTTCATTGCACATTCATGATGATTTATGCCTCTGATGCTATTGGATCACACATGATCCTGCTTACCATACTATTTATGCCTGCACATGTTTTGGGGTGGTCATACTACTTCATTGCCAACCAGAGTTTATCCTGTAACTTTTCATACCACACAAATGTTTGGGGGTTTTTGTCCAGATTTTGTCACATTATAGACCCCTCCAGGCAGCAGTAATGTGGATGCAAGAATAACAGAGCAACTAACAAATCAGAATATATCCACCACTAAAACACTCTTATAGTGTCATAACACACCCACCATAAAACATGAGTCTGGACATCTTAATACGCACAGTTCAGCAGTCTGCTGAGAAACTTGGAAAGACTTTCATATCTGATAAACCAAAATGGCTTTCAGAATGATCCCTTACTAACTTTGGGTTCATGATATTAAGGAGCAGCTCAAGCTTGAATGAAGCCTTATGTGTCTATGTTCTGGAACTCTCCTTTCATCAAGCTTCAAACAACCAGATTTGGTTGTGGTCAGATAGTCCAACAAACTCATATGTTCTTCTAAGCAGGCATCTGTAACATTGCCAGGGGCCACCATCTTATCCACTTGACTGATGCAGTCATATTCTCCTGAAGTTCTTGATTTTAGTAAAAGTACTGAGGACATGCTGGAAATGATCCATAGTTCATTGAACAAGATGTCCTTGTTTCTATATATGACGCTTCCTCTGATGACATTTTGGAGCTCCACTGCTTACTATTCACGCTTCCTTGTACTATTCGCCAGTCTGTATTTCTTTAGAAACAATAATATTATTACTTTTGAGAAGAAGAAAGAAAACCATTGCTAAAACTAATAACTGATTGGCACATCTCCCCTAATTTATCTTCTCTAATTTACACCCATCCACAAAATACAAACATATAATCAACTGTTATATATGTGCCATACATACAAACACACACACACACACAGACAACACAACACATACACACACAGCCTATTTCTGGATCATAAAGTTATTATCTATGCAATATTTGATCAGACATAAAGGCCACATCCACACTGTACATTTAAAGCACTATTATACCACTTAAACAGCCATGCCTTCCCTCAAAAGAATCTTAGGGGCTGCACTTGTTTGAGCAGGTTAAGCAAGTGGTTATTAACTCCACTATGTAAAACCAATGACAATACAGTCGTACCTTGGAAGTCAAATGGAATCCATTCCGGAAGTCCGTTCGACTTCCAAAATGTTCGGAAACCAAAGTGCAGCTTCCTGCAGCCAATCGTAAGCCGTGGAAGCCCCATTGGGCATTCGGCTTCCAAAAATAGTTTGCAAACCAGAACAGTCACTTTGTGGTTTGCGGTGTTCAGGAGCCAAAACGTTCGAGAACTAAGCTATTCGAAAACCAAGGTGTGACTGTACTGTTGTTTTATACTCTGGGAATTATACAACAGTAAGGGAATCAGAATATTCACAGAATCTGCATATAAGGTTGCATAGAGCAAAGTTGTTCCATTGGCACAAGAATGCATGCCAACACAACAGGTCTTCCTTTCCCTGCATCCCCACCTTCAAATTTTCTCCAGAAGCTTGGAAGACACCCCAGAACAGATTAGGGTTGGAGGAGGCACATGAGGAAAGGGAGTCCCATTGTGCAGGTGTAAGTTATTGTGCTAATCAGATAACTTCCCTGGGTATATGCTACGGGAGTGAAATATTACAGAGAGGTTCATTCACTAAATACCCTTTCTAGAAAATTCACACTTTTAAAAATAAAGAGTACAGTTCTTCATTGCATGAGGTACTTACGCGTTACTGAAAGGGAAGTTGGATCAAGCGTCATGTTTGTGCAATCAGGTATATTCAGCCCATCCATTTCTTCCTTGTCATAAATATTTTGCCTTAAAATATTCATCACAAACCCTTCACTCATTCTAGACTTCATAAACTCTTCAGTCTCAGGTGGCACTGCGAACCATAAAAGGTAGGATGCTGAGTTGTTTTCTTTACTGTAAGAAGGAAAGAAACATTGTGGGGATGAGAAGTCATTGGGTTATACAGCTATTCTTCCCCGTACTTTTGATACACTTCATGAGGTAATGTGATAAATGCACATTTGGGAGCAAAAAACAAAGAAAGACTGGGGTGTTCTCCTCTGCATCAAAGGAATGTAAGCTGGCAGTATAAGAATAAGAATAAGAATAAGAATTAATAATAATAATAATAATAATAATAATAATAATAATAATAATAATTTAAACCCTGCCCATCTGGCTGGGTGTCCCCAGCCACTCTGGGCAACTCGCAACAGAATATTAAAAACGTGATAAAACATCAAACATTAAAAGCTTCACTGAACAGGGTTCCTTCAGGTGTCTTTTAAAAGTCAGATAGTTGTTTATTTCCTTGACATCTGATGGGAAGGTGTTCCACGGGGCCGGTGCCACCACCGAAAAGGCCCTCTGCCTGGTTCCCTGTAACCTCACTTCTCACAGTGAAGGAACCACCAGAAGGTCCTCAGCGCCGGACCTCAGTGTCTGGGCTGAATGATGGGGGTGTAGACACTCCTTCAGGTATACTGGGCCAAGGCTGTTTCCTGTTGGAGTGGCTTTTTTAAAAAAAATCTCACTGGGAGTGTGTACCAACAACTTCTTAAAGCCCCAAAGCTATATTGTAGGGCTCCTGCACCCTTAATCATTGTGGAGAGGAATGAATGTAGCTTGCTGGGCAGACTGATATTGCATCGGCCATCCTTAATACAGTGGTACCTCGGGTTAAGTACCGTACTTAATTCGTTCTGGAGGTCCATTCTTAACCTGAAACTGTTCTTAACCTGAAGCACCAGGTTCAAACACCAGGGGCCTCCTGCTGCCACCGTGCCACCGGAGCACGATTTCTGTTCTCATCCTGAAGCAAAGTTCTTAACCTGAGGTACTATTTCTGGGTTAGCGGAGTCTGTAACCTGAAGCATATGTAACCTGAAGCATATGTAACCCGAGGTACCACTGTACTTTAATAGCAACAGGTTAGGGCTGTCATACATCCAGGTTTTCTCAGACACGTACAGGAATCACTGAGAAAAATGGCGTCCTGGCAGATTTTTGCTGAACTGGCAAGTTGGGCTAACAAAAAAATGAGGGGGTGTTCCCCAAAAAAGCTCAACAACAAAAAGCCTCCGTCCGGATTTTCACTTTGGGGGAAATGGTAACCCTACAATGTTGGTGAGTGCTGAACGAAGTAGAGCCAAAACAGGGCCACCAAGAAACAATTAAAAAAAAAAAAGTGGACTGAACATTTTAAGAAATCAAATATGGACTGTGTTAAACTTTTCTCAACACACTTTCCCCCCATTCAGTTTCAGGTGTTCTAAATCACATAATTGAATCCTTGGAACTGACTCCCCTTTCCTACCTGAAGGAAACAACTTCAGCCATGACGAAATACCGTCCAAGTGCAGGTGAATGACTGTATACATCTGTAAGCTTGAGAGAGAAGACATTAATTACGGACACATGTTATTCACTTATCTATTTATTTATTGCATTCATGTCTCTCTAAGGAGCTCCGTGTGGTGTACATGGTTCTCATCCTCTTAGTTTATTCCCCACATCAACCTTGTAAAGTAAGTTAGGTTGGGAGACAGTGACTGGCCCAAGGTCAAGCATTGGGCTTCATGTGTTTTCATTTTGTATTTTTATGATGTGAACTGTCCTGTGATCTTTGGATGAAGGGTGGTATGCAAATTTAACAAACAAACAAACAAAGGCTATGAACTCAGGTCTCTTCCAGGTCTTAGACCAACACACTAACCACTGCACCACACTGCTTCCTGATATTGCACATTGCATTGATATTGTTTAGCTATTCTCCATGACACTCCGTGACATTATGGGTTATAACATTTCAGAAATGTCCGCTACAGAGTTACAAATTACTTTAGATAAATAGTAAGTCTCCTTCTGACATTTTGCTGGCATCCTGCCTTCCTTCCTTCCTTGAAGGCAAAAGTACACCATCCTATCACTTTTGTTTCCCAACTAGTTCCCAAGTAGCGATCCTTCCTGCCTTTCTAAGGGGGGAAATGTTGTCTTAAGAGGGATGCACAATAAAAATACCACCATCAGTTGGACCAGGCTTTGTGTAGCTTAGAAGGCCCTGGTGCAATTGTCACTGCATCATATTATTCCCAGGGACATTCCTGGAAGGGGGGTGCAGCTGACCTGTTTGGGCAATGAGAGGAGTCATCTTCTTCCCCCAAGAATGATCCTGGGAACAACAACACCAGAGATGCTGACTTGCACCCAGGATTGAGGGGCCCCAGTGCACGGCGCCCTTGTGCGCAACTAGCGTCATTGGGAGGAGGCTGAGTGTGGACCCCAGCATGACACAGCTTCAATGGCTGGTGGCTCCTCCTCTCTCGCACTCAGGAGCCAGCCACTGAAACTGTGCCATGCTCAATTCAGCACTGGGTCTCCTCCATCCCCTCAACACTGAGGGGCTCCTAGCAGATATGGGGGGGGGCAAAAACACCTTGGCCCCATAGAGCTGGTGCTTCTGGACAACACATCATGACATAAGAATGATCTCATTGGAATATTCTATTCAAAATGGAGACCTTGTTTGGCTCATTGTTGCCACCTCAAGCAACAGTAAGGATGGATGGCTCACCACAGAGCCATTCTGAACAGATTTCATTGCCCCCAGAACTGGCTCCATGTTCGCTTGTTGATGGGTGGACAAATCCACCCACTTTTACAAAGAGGGAGGGAGGTGCTTAGGGATTGGTCCTAAGGCTGCCTCCTTATTTCTTCAACCTTTTAAATATTTTGGTTTGTTTAGAGCAGCTTTGTGGCTGCACAGTGTGTGTGTGTGTGTGTGTGTGTGTGTGTGTGTGTGTGTAAACAAACTTCAAAGAAATGACTGCACATGATAATTTCCTACCTGGAGATTGTATGGGGTGGAGGAGATGACTGTCCCATCTTTCCCTCCTTATATTGACTGGCAGTAACTCATCAGGCTTTCAGACAGAGGGCCATTCTCTTCCCTATCTGGAGATGCCTGGGATTGAACCTGGGACTTTCCACATGCATGACAGATGCTCTGTTATTGACCTATGGCCCATCTCCTAAGGATGAGGCTCTTGTGTCTTATAAGAATGGGACAGAAAATACGTTCATGTGTGAGATCATGTGATCATTTGAGTTAGAAGGACCTTGAAGGTCATCCAGTCCAATATACTGCTCAATGCAGGATGAAGTGGCAGAGGAGGAGGAGGAGATGTAAAGGAAATTCTATTGCACTGCCAGAAACTGTTCAGTTTGTGTAATGATGTCATTGGATACCACCATGGGACTTTAGCTGGAAAACTTACCCTTTTACTAAGATTTTCAAAAATCAACTTAAATGCTGATTCTGAGAGCTCCAGGTCAGGATTAGTACAGTGAATTTTTAATATCCCTGTGAAATTATGAAGACTGCCATTTGCTATTGATTCAGGGTCCCAGTAGTCATCTTCATCTATGTAAACTGCTAGAATAATAATAAAAAGTATTTGTAGTAACTCTCACAAGCTAGCCAATATATTTTTCATCATATAGTGATTCTAAATAATAACAACAACAATAACAATGACAACAATAGCAATAACAATAACACCTTCCTCTCAATGAGATGAAATGTATGTCTATATTTCAATTTCATTAAACCAAGATCAGTGGTTTGGGCTGTGGGCTGTTGCAAAATCATAGGAGATTAGAGTTGGAGGACATCTAGACAAACTTCTTGCTCAGTGCAGGAACCTTGCAAATACAGCCCATTCTATCCCATGTACCTGTGGACAGCAGTGGGTGGGCAGAGAGTAGAATGGTGGCTTTCTGCCCAGTCATATACCTGCATTCAAGCACAGATGACTCTATCTGCATACAAACTGCACATGGAAAATTCAATTCACATGATCAAGATTCTTGAAAAAGAGGCATGGAAAAAATGTGAAGCAAATAAATAAAACCAGTGACCTTGTCTTTGAAAAGTTTTCTAAGTATATGTACAGTCTGTACACATTTAGGCTCTTTCACGCTCTCCCCCTTTTACATTTTTAGTTGAATGTTCAGTGAATGTTCAATACACATGCAGATGACATGTTTACATTTACTCCCAGGGCCAATTTCAAAGCAGAAGTAATGCTAGCATACCCAGACTCTTGTGGTGCCTCTTTTTCACAGCATACGGACACAGCTATCTCTTGGGACCTAACTAGACACAGTGCATAGGATGAATAGCATCATGTGCTCTGTATAAATAAAGCGGCTGTGGTGAAAGTTCAGACTGGATCACAGTGCTCAGGAGGGAAATTTAAATTAACACATCCGTTTTATGCAAACACACACACTTTATGTGTAATAAACATGTTTCACTCTTAGTGTTGATCTATAACCCCCAAAGAAATAAAAATGTGTTGAAAACTGAATAAGTCTGAAAGCCATTTTTAAACCAACTATAACATGTTAAATTTTGAATGTTTTGTCAGTTTTGCCTCATAGTCAAAACACAGGCATAGGCAAACTCAGCCCTCCAGATGTTTTGGGACAGCAACTCCCATCATCCCTAGCTAACAGGACCAGTGGTCAGGGATGATGGGAGTTGTAGTCCCAAAACATCTGGAGGGCCGAGTTTGCCTATGCCTGTCAAGACAGCTTTGTGAGGAGGAATCCTAATTTTTCTTTCATAGATGGAGAAAGGTGAAAGACATTGCCCAAGATCAAATAAGAAATTCAAGGCAGAGGTGCGCCTTGATCCAAGTCTTCAGATAAATGTCTAACTGCAGGGGCAATGCTGGTTTTAAATACTTTGCCATTTCTAATCCACAGGAGTACCCCCTCCTCACACAGAACTATCATAGAAACACTGTCGGTATACACACTCTACATTTAAAGCACCCCCCCAATAATCCTGAGAACTGTAGTTTGTGAAGGGTTCTGGAAATTGTAGCTCTGTGGGGATAAACTATAAGTACCAGGATTCTTGGGTATGTGTGTCCTTAAAAGGTATGGTGTGTACGCTGCCATAGAAGTCCCAATCTAGATGACTACATTAAGTCCCATTGCTTTCCAATGGGAATTCAGATTCAATCCTATACCCACTAACCTGGAAGTAAGGCCCATTGAACTCAGTAGGACTTACTTCAGTGTAGACATCATATAAGGACTGCCCTATTAGTCACAAGTAACTTGAGATGGATTGAGACCATGGTGGGGAGTAGCTCTCCCCACATATCTTTGATGTCATTTCATATTGGAAGAAGGGTACATACCTGAATAGAAAACCAAACTTAGAATAGTCACAAGAATCAACACCAGAAAAGCGGAAGTTAAAATCATCCACAGCTTGCATTTCCAAAAAACAGTTTCAAAACATGACTTGAAGTAGGCTGGCGTCTGTCACAAAAAAAGAGTAAAAGGGGGGAAATATGTTAATAAGTTGTGTGAAAGATTGAAAGCAATCTCTAATTGAATTATTCCAACACACATGTATTAGATTTGACCTTGTAGATCAAGGTAACCAATGCCTCTAGATGTTGTTGAACTACGGCTTCCATGATCCCTGGCCATTGCTCATGCTGGATGGGACTGACAGGAGTTGGAGTCCAACATCATCTCAGGAGCACCATTCTTCCTACTCCCAAGTCTATAACAATATTGGAAACCCCAAAAGGAGATGTTGGAGCTCAGAACTCAACAAGTAGAAGCTGTCATACTAAGTTCCTAGCTTGAAGAGCTAACTGTTACACCTTTAGTAAACATCTGTGTTTGCTAAGCAGGATGTTTGCTATCACATGCATACTTGCTTAAACCAGCACCTTCTTTGTTGAGAATAAAGAGCGATAGGATTACAACAGTTTCAGGTGTGAATAGCTGTAGCCTTTGAAATCCATGTTCTTGCGCCATAAATATGATAGTGAGCACATCACATTACAAAAAAATTAGAGTTGCAACATGTGTGTGACTACCTAGGAATAAATCACATGCAGATTTAAACATTTTATTTTAACAACTGAGACCTGCAATGAAATGTTGCAGTGTTGAGTGCCTGAGTGCACTGTTCACACATTGTACTGTTGACCGTATTGTTTGCTTCCCCCACAATACTCCATTCCATCCCTCTTCTCACCAGATTCCCACCTTCCCAACATGTTAGGTCCCCCCCCCCCCAAGATTTGTTTGTACTTCAGCAAGCCTTGGGGATCACCTCAACCTGCTGATAGCAACATCTTGTTTGTGTATTATTGTTTGCTTTATAAGAAGCAACACTTTGAGAACTGAGATTGTTGTTAGCATGTTGAATTTTAATATCTGAACTTGTAAAAGTATAGGGTATATCTTTTATTTATGTGCAGATTCTCTCTCCCCCCCCCACTCTAAGAACTGTTAATGAATGGAGGAGAGTGATAACTCTTTTAAGGCAGCCACCTCAGAGACACTTACCTGTCCCATTGAACTTGATGGCTCTTGCTTCTGAGCAGACATACATAGGGCTTAATTGTAAACTAATCACAACCCACCTTGGTTTTACTAGTCAAAAACCATGTATATATAAGATACATAAATGTAAGACTTTTCACACATGAAATTCACACACGAAAATGCTGGTGAATTTTCACAACAACTTTTTAAAAAGTTGCAAACTGATGTGGAAATGTGGCAAGATTAAGATTAGAAAAATGAGGAAGTGAGAGAAACTGAAACTGGCTGATTCATGCATCGTTGCGCCCCTGAAACGGATATGTTGGTAATCTTAGTGAGAAACAGGTGTTGTATCTGTTAAATGGGGGTGTTTCACACTGAATTTTCCAGTTTCTCTGTGTGAAACACACACACACACACACACACACAAACACAAAACTGTTAAAGTCAAAGCTTGTCCCAAGAGAATTCTTTATTATTCTGAAACAATGCAGATTAATTGTAGTAACTCACTTTTACCAAACAGAAAGTGAATAATTCAGTGGCTTACCTCATTATGGGCTTCAGGATTAAGAGGCTCATGCTCCCGTTCTTCATTGCTTAATGCTGGTAAATCAATGGTCTCATGGCCATTCATTGCTTCTTATTCCCCGTGAAGAACTTTTCCACACAGGACATGTGAGCAAGAAAAACTAACTTCCTCTGCATTTTCAGCCCTGGGTATGTTTCTGATGATAACACGCCAGAGCCAAAAAGTTTCTATTGTTCCCGTGTCCCATATCCTGTGCCCCTGAAACAGGACGATAGACTGGAATGCTTCAAAACAAAAACAAAAAATAGATTTCAAGTGAGCGCTTGGAAAAATCAACACGTAAAAGTTGAGAAGTCCCAGTTTTATCAGCGTTCGGGAAATGCAAAGTCTCGTTCGAGGGTTGTGCAAAGAAAGGCTGGATTTTCCAGTTTGGTAAGCCTGCCTTCTGCAGACACAAGCAGGTAATATAACCTGAGGCAGCCCAGCCCTTGCTGGAGTGACAAATAAAAGCTCATGCTCGTACAAGAATGAAACTAGATCCTTGACAGGGATGGCCTTATTAGATATCAAAGAATGCTAGCACAAAAAACCGTGATTGTAGGTGAGAGCTGGAAAAATTCAAATTATATACAAAGCTTCTTTTGTCTGACAGTGGCTAATTGCTAGACTAATAACTACATATATCTAGATAATAATCTTGCCTAAAGGACTCCAGGAGAACCCTGGCATTTTCAAAGAACATTTGATCATTAATTCCTTGAAGGAATTTTGTAAATATAGACTTGGACCTACTAAGCCAACTGGGAAAGAATGAAATATAATATTAAGACTGAACTCCTATGCAGACTTATTTGAGTCGCATCAAACATGATGGCACTTACAGTACCTCTGAATAAACAAATGCAGAATTGTAACATTAGAGTACTGTTGCAAGGGTTCATAGCACAATATTCTGCATGTCTACTTAGAAGTAAGCCCCATTGACTTCAGTGGGATTTATTCCTGGGTAAGTGAGTTTATTATTGCAACTTTAGTGTCTGTTTCTTACTATTGACATATCACACTTGGTTTCCATGGCTGTAAAGGTATGTCATCTGAGACTATAGTTATGCATCTTCAACTTCACAGTGACTAGTTCAAGCTAAACTTAAAGCATGTCCACCCAGCAGTAAATAAATAAAATAATAATAATAATAATAATTTGTACCCCGCCCATCTGGCTGGGCTTCCCCAGCCACTCTGGGCGGCTTCCAACAAAGATTAAAAATACATTAAAATGTCACATATTAAAAATTTCCCTGATGTCTGTAAGTGCCATCATATTTTATGTGACTCAAATAAGTCTGCATAGGAGTTCAGCCTTAATATTATAATCGTGCTCCGGTGGCACGGCAGTAGCGGGAGGCCACGGCACGATTTCTGTTCTCATCCTGAAGCAAAGTTCTTAACCCGAGGTAATATTTCTGGGTTAGCGGAGTCTGTAACCTGAAGCATATGTAACCTGAGGTACCACTGTAATCACAATAGTGCAATCAGAAATATGTATGTGATTGCACTATACCCTTCCTGTTATCTTGATCGTTTCAGGTGGTCTTTTCCAGGGGTCCTGTGAGAATGAATACGATCACCGCTCACTCGGATCACTGGTGAATTTGCAACCAGCTTTCTGAGAAACATTAGACATCCCATGGCAGGTGTAGCATTGACCTAAGTGCATTTGTGTTTGTTCTCACCATGCACTTGGTGGACCCCCCCAAAATGAACAGTGATGTTAACCAGTCCGTTCATGTAATGAATATGAGTCACTTTTTGCTCAATTCATTTTATATTGCAATCCAAATGAGCACATTTTATTTACACAACTCATGGTAAATAGTTTCCTGCTCCCACAAAAGCCCCAGTTTGAAAATGAGAACACTACTCTTTAAGCTGAATAGGAAACACGGAGTTTAAATTCTGTCATAGCCATTTAAAATAAACCCAGTAAGAAATGTCATATACAACAGGTTTCTGTTTTGTTTTTGCTTTTTACAAAAATTAGTTTTAATTCCAATTCCTCCAAAGGGCTTAAAGTTTTACAGCTTTAAAAGCCCTGTGGGGATCTTTGGGAACACATCTGTAGTTTCAAAACAACAACAACCACTACCACCTGTGGAGCAAATGCAGACTTTGGAATTTGAAAGAGCTGGATAACATTTTATTCATTACATAATTTATTTCTTTTAGATTCCTGACTGATGCTATTCTCTGAGGTTCAGACTCAGAAGGAATGAAACATGGTGTGTATAGAAAACAAATAGAACTATGACATAGTTGCTGTTGATGTGGATGTTCATGCTGTTTCCTCCAGAAACCGTTACCAACTCTGGGCATTTGCAGAATGGATTGAACTAAAACACACACACACACACACACACAAACACACAAACACAATACAAAAAGGCATTGTTACGGGGAAATATGCTTTGTAGAAATGTGTATATTAGCTAAAAATGCACACAGTTTAAGCTGTAGCCCTATACACACTTATCCAAGAGAACTCAATGGGATTTACTTCTGAGTAAATGTGAGGAGGATTACATTGTTGGTCCTTTTTTGCATAATATACTTAAGTCACTTTTCTGCATCCTTGGCTTTCATCTAAACAAGAAAAGTCTTGCATCTCTTCCCAGAAGATTATCAGGCTTTGTCAGACAAATCTAGATTCTGATACAGTGGTATTTTCACATGGAAAGCACCTTCCATGACTCAGGTTAATTACCCAAGTTCACAACACACAATATTGTGTGGGTGGGTTGTATCCAACTAAGTTCTATTCAGAGTAGGTTCATTGAAATTCTTGTTTCTTTCAGTGGGCCCACTCTGAGTACCACTGACTTTGGCTACAACACTGTGTGAGCGTACATGTGAGTTTATAGTAATGAGCTGTGCAGATGTAACACTACCTAGGGCATCAAAGCTGTACTATATTGAATTAGACAAAATAGGTCAAGTTAAGCAAAAGGGAAAATTGACAAAACACAAGGATATTTTAAAAAATAAAAAAAGCATTTGTCATCACATTTATTTGAGTATACATGTAAAGGAAGAATCTAAATGCATACCTTAAGTTTATGCAGTCCAGCAGCCTGAAATTCTGAATTCACTTTGAAGCTGCAATCTTTTAATGTGTGCCTGGAACCCATTATCTTTCCAGCGGAATTTCTTCTTGTTTTCTTTTAATGTTTAGTCCCTTTCACTCTCCATTGGTTCTTTCTTAACCAGACAGGGGAGAATGTGGGAATATTATGTGTTATTGCTCAGGAGGTGAAACTGCAGATGAATCATTAACTGTGCTGGTGGGTTGCTTCACTTTTCCACATAACCCGGATGTCCAGAGTTCATTCACAGTTCTTTAGCTTCAGTATAACTTAGTATATCGCTCTGTTATTTGTTTATCTGTTTATTGCTATGTTACGGCTCTACATTTTTCGTACTCACCACTTCCTGAGCAGAAGGAAGTCGCAGTGGCAGGTGTTTACAAGGTTAATGTTGACAAGTCATGTAGTGCTCCTGTAATGCTTGATGTTGGTTATTTTATTTTAACAAGTTGAATGTAGAGGAACAAGCAGATTCTTAGGCAGCCTGTATAACATGGTCAAGTAACCTTTGACCCTCCGAAAGCTAGAATGGATGTGAATCCAACAGTATATGGAAGACCACAGATTAGCCATACTTATTGTATGAGTACTTATTGTATAAGCCCTTTGAATTCTCTAAAGTTACTTCCATCTCAAAAAAAATCAGACTGTTTCTCTTTCATTAGCCCCATCACCAAATGAAAAACTGTTTTTTCCAACACCAACCTTGGAAGATAGGTAGGGCATGCGTTCATTTGGAAACATTGACTGTTCAACTGTTTAGAGGTGCTTTTGAAATCACTGCTGTCCATGGGAGTTCCGGTGGCCTCCATGGTGAAGAGCACCTACCCCCAGCTTTGGCTGGTGTGTCAACTGTGTCATATCCCAGTCAGGAATAATGTAGTCACTGTGGCACATGTGTTGGTGTCTTTAGGTTTAGTCTATTGCAATGTGTTCTATGTGGGGCTTCCCTTTTGCCTGGGGCAGACTGTGGCTGGTGCAGAATAATGAAGCCCAGGTGGTGCATGTCACACACCATTGCTGAAGGATCTCCACTGGCTGCCTATTAAAACCAAACCACTTTAAAAATTACTTGCATTTAAAGCAACTTTGCAACAGGGTTACCCGAAAGACCAGCAAAGACCACCCCACCTCTCACCTTCCACTCTCCAACTTAGTTACGGTGCCCCCTAGGCTCCATGTCTTAAATCCACCTCTACTTGCAAAGTTACTGAGGTGTAAGAGTGGGCAGTTGCCTCTTGGCATATTCAGTATCATTCAAAGCACACACAACCTGAAGAACTACCCACCCTTAAAGGAAAGGACAGGACTACTAGCCATGATGGCTATTCTCTGCCTCCACCATCAGAGACAGTATACTTCTAAATATAAGTTGCTGGAAACCACCAGGCAGGAGAGTGCTCTTGTACTCAGATCCTGCTTCAAGGTTTCCCGCAGTCCTTCAGTTGGTCACCTTGAGAACCATATGCTGAACTAGATGGGCCTTTGTCCCGCTCCAGCAAGGCTCTTATGTTCTGAAGTGTGTGTACATTGCTTTGCATTCTGTGGTGAAAGAAAGGCAGGTTATAAATAAACATTTACAGCCACAGTCCTCTGGTGAAGTCCTTTTGCTTTTATTTTCTCTTGCTTTGCTTCTCAGTCTCCCTTGCTTTTGTGTATAAGGCTCCCAGGTCGTTTCCTCTCCAGGAACTGACCACATTCAGACCTACTTATCTTCAACAAGCTTGCTGCCTCCTATGCCTTCAAATCATGGAACATATCACACTGGCATTCTAAGAGCTACTGTTGATTTAGATTACATTTGCCAGGCCAGAAGCTGTGCTTTACATACAAAATTAAAAAGAGGGAACTTAAATACAAGGTGTCATGTGAATAGTCTCAGTGAAATGAAAGTGATTCTAAATGCTAGCAGGAAGGACATAGTTTGATTGTACAAAAGGAACTTGACAAAACAAGGATGCTGAACAGACTTTTCACTCAAACTGATGGAACAATCTCTTTGGCTTAGCTTGTTACACAGTTAGCTAAAGGTCCTATACAATTCATTGTCTAACCTAACACTCATATTACCAGGAGTTGATGATGGGTGGGTGAATAGATGGTTAAAAAGTCCACTGAGAAGAGCAAAATAATACCAGGAATTCTGAAAGAGTGAAGAATCTTGTGGCACCTTGAAGAGCAACCATTTTACTATGGTATAAACATTTGTAGGCTAACAGCCCACTTCTTCACTGTATCAAAATGTTAGCCTAGGTAACAGGTGTAAATCCACAGTGGCTTCAGAAGAAAATGAAATGTAGGAAGAACAGACAGTGGTAACTTATTAAAATAACTCATCACTGCATTTCTGCATTTCATTTACCTTTGGCCTCACTGTTTATAATCCCCTTCTTCTTCCAACAATTAGTATCTATAGACTTGTAACTCAGGATAACACTTCATGTATCTGATGAAGTGGGATATTATCTGTGAAACTTTATACTTGTTAGCCTTTAAAATGCTGCAAGCGTTTTTGACGTTTTTGCTGCAGCCAACCAACACAACCACTTTCTGGAAACTGACAGAGAAGGGAAATTGAAGCTTCATCAGTCTCTAACACCCATCCCAAAAATTAAAGCATCCTTTATTTTCAGCATATTTGGTACAGTTCTTCCAAAGGTCTTCATACATCTCAGAAATGGACAATTTTTGTTGTCAGGGAAGAAGAAAGCCTGCATGCCTCTTAACAGCAAATCATCAAAAGCAAGATCAAAGCTAATGCAAAGCAGAAGCTGCATCAAAATACTTGCAGGCAGATAGTGATCAAATGTGCTACTCCATTTACCCATCCCTGTTGATGGAACACCAAGAAAATCAACAAAGACAGTGAAATAAACCTTGTGGTTGCATTCATATTGCCCTTTGCAGTGGGAAACATTCACTGATTTTTGCCTGCTAAAATTTTATATACATTCCATATGCCCATACAAAATATATCTGTAATGTCTCTCCTTTATCATAGTTATAAATCCTGTTTGGTTCATCAATAAGAATGTGTGCATACTTTCGGCTTTCTCCAGAACTCATCTGTCATTTTGTGTATTGACGAATCCAGTCATAAAGTGTTGTGATCTTGGTGTAAACGCCAGGGCGATTCCGTCGAGCACATCCTTCACCCCAGCTGACAATGCCTGTAAGGTACCATCTGTTCCCTCTTCCTAAACAGGCTAATGGACCCCCAGAGTCACCCTAAAAGGAAGGACAGAAGCCTCACTTTTTGCTTCATTGCATAACTAATGCATATTTGCAGTTAGGATTGTGATATGATACACACATTCACATTTGTTCTGTTTTATCAATTCTTATACAGTCATTCCCAAAACCCGTAAGTCACCATGTGTAATTGTGGTCTGACGATATATTGTCTATCATGTTCACATGGTGTTAGATGATACTTGTTCCCTGATGGGTGTGACTGGTTAAATGAATGCTTGAACTCCTGTGATTAGTGTTGTTGTTAACACTGTTTGGCACAATGTGTCTGATTCCCAACTAACATACTACTGCAGTCTAGACAATATGCTTTTACAGGTACACGACTTGAGCCAGGATTGGGAAGAGAGTCACCATGAGGAAGCCTGCTTCAACATAGCCTCAGAGATCTGGGAGATTAGGTTAATATGTAGGTGTATGTTGCATGTGCCTCAGATATTATTTTATTTTACTCCAACATCAAAGGCAGAAAGGAATGAGGTTGAGGTTGATATGGCTCAAGAAGGCATATGTCAGTACAAATTGGTACTCATTTAGGATTCAAATGCAAGTATTCTTGAAATTAAAAGTTAAGAACATAATATTTAAAGAATCTTTAATGGACACCTCAGATAATTTTCTAGTCATGCTTGGAGTAGGCCCATTGAAATCAATGGGACTTAAGTTAGTTGCTACTAACTTACTCCCATTGATATCATTGTGGTTACGTTTATTTAAAAAACTTCTATCCTACCTAATCTTCAAAATAAACTCAGTGGGTCTACTCTGACTAAGTCTGGATCCAACCCAGAGCTGTCTAATGTCTTTTTTTCTATGGGAATAAGAAAACATTCCTGGAAAAAATAATTTTGAAAGGACTGATGTACAAATCAGTGTCACTTTTCACAATCATTTTCCACTTTACCTGACATGCGTCAATGCCACCATTAAGGTTCCCAGCACACAGCATCCGAGAAGTAATCAGATCGTCATAAAGCTTGTTGCAAACACTCTGATCAATTATTTTCACCTTCGCTTCTTGCAGTGTTTTTGCAAGTTCACCTACAACAACAGAAACATTGTATGGGTTGAGTATGATGGTTCTGATTGCAAAGTGAGAGGTGAAAAAAATAATAATCAAGATCTGCCTTAGATCTTTTAACTTTTCCTTGCCTATATGTTCCCAGAATAAAAAACGATTGGCACAGCACATGGTGAATTAAACTGAATAAACGTTAATCTAATTGAACATTTCCAAATCTAAGCATATTACCTTCCTAGTGGCTTCTTAAGTTTACTATCCTCTAAGAATAAACTAAAATTAAAGAGTTCCATCATTTGTCACTGAGGATATGTATTTAGAATTGCCACAAGTGATATCCAATTGAGCTAGGCCATATACCTTAAGTTCTATTAATGTTATTTATTTATTACATTCATTATACTCCACTTTTTAGCCAAGGATGGATCCCAAAGTGGCTCACATTTACAATCCACAAAAAGGTACAATATATTAGGATGCTTGGCATTTGCAATAAACATATCCAGAAATGAACATACTATTTTCTTTTACGGCTCCCCAGCCAGTTACATAGCAGACAGTTCCATAAATTAATAGTCTACGACTGCTTGGTAAACATATGGGCTGTACCAGCTCATTGAAGAATACTGGTGACTCCATTTCCAACAGGGCAATGTCATAGTCTGAGATATATTGGTCATAATGTGGGTGAACAATGATCCTTTTGATCGATCTCATCGCTACGGGATTATCATTATTTCTGTTAATGACCTTTATACCCATATATGCTGTCCAGCCAGATGCTATAGAGTATCTGAAAAACAACAAAACGTGCAGTTTTCCATGTGCTCTTCTTATACGCGTCTCATTCATTTGAATGGGAATTGCATAATTTATTCATTTTATTATTTGTATTTATA